GGTCTCGGGGGGGGGGGGGAAGCCGCGGAGGGGCGCGTTTGGCCGCGGTCGCGTGGGACGGTGGCGGGATTTGGGCAGGCGTACAAAGCAAAGCAGGGACGCGAGGAGCACGGGGAGGGCAGAAACACCGCGAACGAGTCCAGAGATATTTAACAAGCAATAACCGTTGTAATAAAGTTGTTTTTTTTCTAGTGATCGCCTCTCGTTCTCTTCCTTCCAACGCTACCGGCGCCGTTCCTTAGGCCATCTACTTCCCAGCCGGGGAGGGAAAATGCGGGACGGCGCCAGAGGAGGGGAAAGGACGGGCTGCTGCGGAAGAGCCCCACGCAAACGGGCCCCTTAGGAAAGACGAAAACAAGCAAGCAGGAAAGACGAGTCTGAAGGAGACGGTCCTGCGAGAGGGCGAAAAGGTTTTAATCGACGAAAGTCAAGAGGAAGCTGGTGGAAGGGTGCCAGGAGGGCATAAAAAGATCGATAGAGCGCGTCAGCTGGATGCCCCGAAAGCAACTACGGCCGTGACCCCGCGTGCAATTCGTCAAATTTTATTACTGTAATTAGCCACAGATAGGGAATTGTTTCCATCAACCCCCACAAGCGGTCGCCGTGTTCTAGTCCGTTAGTAATCTTTCCTTATAAATACCTTACAGGGATAGAGGCAAGGATCCGTAGGATAAAGTGCTGAGCAAAGCAAATCCCATTCCCGTTAACGCTAACTCGCCGCTCCCTCCGTTACCTAGTGTTTCCTGAGAAGGGGGAACGCGAGGAAGGCCGGAGCCTGGAGCGCCCCGAATAACCGGCCCGTTCCCCCGGGGAACCGCGGGAGAGGCCGGGGATACAGGAGGCCGCCCGGCCCCAGCCTTTCACAGAGCCGGGCACGGGAGCTACGGACTCCCGCTCCTCCCCGTGACCCAAGGCGCGTGCCCCCAAAGCAGCAGCAGCAGCAGCCCGAGAGGTCGGGCCAGCCCGGTTTCCGTCAAAAGCACGGCTAATATCCGCACGTTGAACTCCGGGGAGCTGCCAGAACCTTCAAGCCCTCGGTGAGACGGCGTACGGCCCGGCGCAGGCTCCGAAAGGCTCCCGCGCCGGACAGAAGCAGCAGCAGTAAAGAGGTTTTTGCTCCCCGGTGAGCCGGGAGCACCCGAACGCGACAGAGTTGGGAAGAGCCTCCGTTTCGGAGCACGCCGGTACTCGCCGGGGCAGGCGGGGCGAGCGGGCGGGGGGGGGAC